AGGGTGGGGGCTGTCAGGCAGCCGTACCGGGCGTTTTCCCTTCACGCCGCGGGTAATCGCGTTGTGTTGTTCAGGACGGAAGGCCAGAGGCAGAAATGAGGAAGGTTTTGTGCGTGGAGCCCGTCATTTTCATCTACATGTTTGCCTCTTCCCTGACGAGCCCGCTGGCGCAGCAGTTCATCTACCGGCGGCTGTGGGAGGAGGAGTACAACTCCACTTTCCTCAGCGATGGCAACGCCACTTACTGCGAGCAGAATAAAAGCAGCCCCGCTTACATCAAGCAGAAGGTAAGAGGGGGAAGGAAAAAAAAAAAAACAAACAAACAAAAAAAAAACAAACCAAAAAACAAAGGCAATTGTAAATAAACTTGCAGCCAGGAGGTGCTGTCTCAGCGTAACCTCCTTTTATATAACCTTACTTAACCTTTTACATATAGGCAAGCGGTAGTTTTGTAATCTGCTGTCACTTTCCCGTCTTGTTGCTCTTGCGGTGCACTGTAGGTATCACAGAATCACAGAATGGTCAGGGTTGGAAGGGACCTCTGGAGATCATCCAGTCCAACCCCCCCGCCAGAGCAGGGTCACCTACAGCAGGTTGCACAAGACGGTGTCCAGGCGGGTTTTGAATGTCTCCAGAGTGAGAGACTCCACAACCTCCCTGGGCAGCCTGTGCCAGTGCTCCACTACCCTCAAAGTAAAGAAGTTCCTCCTCATGTTTAGGTGGAACTTCCTGTGTTCAAGTTTGTGTTTCGGTAGCTGTAGTGCTTTAAAGACAAATAATTCTCCCCAGGAAGACGCTGAGATAAATTCATATTTTAGTGGGGGTTGAAAATCATCTTTGAGAATTGGACCCAAATTGGCATTGGCCTGACATGACAGCAGGTACCACGGAAGTCTCCTCCTTCCAGCAAGAGCTGTGCATGTGTTTGTGAGCCATCAGTTGTCTCTGTGACTTCTAGTGTTCCTTGTAAGCACGTAAAGTTTAGCAAATGTCCTGCAATTTTCAGGAACAAGGTCTAGTTTAGAATACATTTATTTCAGAGGAATTACAAGAATGAAGAAGGGGGGTGGGGTGGGTTTAAGATAAAAATTTTTGTAATTTTAAAATGTAAAAAAATATTTAACTGATCTTTGCACAATCAAACATAGTTGATGATTTACCATTCATAGCAGTGCTTGTCTGCCTTGTTGAAATAGAAAGGTGTCAAGATGACAGTATCCCATGCTCAGTTACTATTTTAGCACTTTTTCATAGTTGAGCGTGCTGGATACCTAGTTGTTGGTTGGAATCTCTTCCATTGCACTTCCAGTGCAGTTTTAATGGTACACATAAGCACAGCACGCTATGGGATGCCAGCAAGTGAGATGATCATACTCCCATTTTCCTTTCCCTCTCCCCCACATTGTTCCCCGCCCATGTGTTGTATCTCCCAATTCCATGGTTACAGGTTATGGTTTGGATTTCATCAGGGCACTGATGAAATAGGCAGCTCATCTCTTTTTTTGAGTTTGTTGGGTTTTGCGTGTTGTTTTCTGAAGCAGTGCACTGCTCTAACACACTCTGGCCACGTGATTGCTGTATGTAACATGGGGATGGCAGAGGGAACACATTTGCAGAAGAGGTAAGACCGAGCCATCCTTGGCACCACCAGCTGGCAGCTTGGTTGGACCAAGTGGAACATGAAACCGCTGTAAAGTCAGAAAAGTAGATGGAATGGCCTGTAAATTACACAGAAAATGGAGTTATGGAAACAGTCAGCTGGCATTCCCCTATGCTGCTGACAGGGTAGCACATGAAGATTTTTGCTCACATCCCAGATTTCAATCTCTGATGTGCTGCGTATGCACAAGACTGAACACCTGAGCTCATCTGCTTCATTTGGGCATATATAAAAGACTTTTTTTTTTTTTCCAGTGGTACGTGCTTATGTTGAAGGCGATCAAATAAATAATTCAAGATTTTTAGCATGGGGTAGGTTCTTCCTCATGTGACAGAACTGGTCTTAGTAGAAAGGATGTGAAAGTAAAGAGGTCGTAGATGTGAAAGTAAAAATTGTAGCGTGTTTTCTGGACTGACCCATCAGCCGAGGAAGGTGATGTGTGCCACCGATTGGAATTGATTTGGAGATAATAACCAATTATTGTTTGTGTAATGCATGTATGTCACTCCCCAAAAGTGTTTTAGCTCTGTGTTTGGTGCTGGGGGGGCATTTTGTCATACGGTGTCATGTGTCAATGGAAGGAGCAACTGTAAGAAAACCATACGTGGTGCGTACCGTTGTAATCGCAGAGCCCATCAAGAAACCTACATTTCACAAACATTTCTGCACTTTGCGTTTGCTAGAAATCCCCCAAATTCAACCTGGATTTCAAATTGTGATCACCTGTGCTCAGGATATAAGACTTCATATTTCTTTTTGCAAAACACTGAAACAGTGCTTAATTTCAGCTGAAGTTTAGATGTGGTGGTGAATTCACACATTATAGGTTTTTTGGCACGAAGGATACAAAACGTAATTAACTTGATATTTGAGAACATGAATCCTTCAAGGCGGTAGTTGAATAATGGCTAATAGAACTTCTTTGTTTCCCTTTCCTGCCGAATTTCCATTCCCTCCATTCCAATGATTGCCAGCAGGGCATGAGCTTTTGAACAATCATGCTCTTGTGTAGTTGTCTGGCCTGCCTTTTGATACTGCACTTGTTACCATAGTATGAGGATGTAAAATGCTTGAAAAAAACATTAATTTCAGTGGAACATGGTCTCTGTGCTGAGTAATAGTCCTGTGTAGTCCTGCAGTTCCAAGCCCTTTGCTGAGGATATGTGAAGTAGCTGTTCTGGATTTTCCAAGACCATCCTAGCTGACTTATGTTTACAGATGCTGTAAATTCTGTTGTCAGGAGTGCTCCCAGCAGACCCTGTTTGGCATTAACTTTTAGAAGAACACCTCCCTTAATAGTTAATTTGGTATAAGTCCTTCTGTTCTGAGAATGGAGAAGCTTTTTACTAATTTCACTTATTTTGAAGCAAAATATAAAAGGAAACTGAAGACAAAAATCACTTGGAGCTTGCAAAAAAGTAGAATATAGTTCAAAATAGATAGTCTTTGAAGCATTTAGATTAATTATTTCTTACAATTTGAAGGAAATCGATAATTTTATAATAAAATTAATTCAATGATAATTTGAATACAAGCTGAAGCATTCCAATCACTACCTTGGATAATCCTTTTTTTTTTTAGCTCAGAAAGAACTATATTATTAGTCATTGAACTTTATTTATCATCCAGTTTATTTATTAACCAATCCATTCATTTTCCTTTGCTACTCACCAATATTTTTTGATTTTATGAGCCTGTCAGTTTATCACATCCTATACATTGTTCGGTCTCAGGCACTACACATCTCTATTAATTTAATCCTAACAGAAATGAATTGCTGCTTCATTTTGATTCTTTCAATTTTGAAATCTGTGATTTTAAGAACTATTTCTGTCCACCATGAGCATTTTTTTCAGAGTAGAGTGAATTTGCAGATTAAAAAACTGTATCTTCCTCTTCAAATTTATGTAGTTGCGTTGATTTTAAAAGAGTTACATTATTTTAAAGCAGCTGAGGGTTTGACCTGACATTTTCTGTATTCTTTCCCATTGACTTTATAAAAACATGAACTGGGCAGTTGAGTGCTTTACACTCTAAATGGAGTTTTTCTGTGCTTTTGTCTTGTAGTCTTCTCGTCAGTAGACAGTAAGTCATTTATGTCAGCAAGGCTATAGTAATTTGCAGTAGGTGGATGTGTAGCCACGTTCTTTGTGTTGCACACCTACATCCAAAACAATGAAACCCAAGCCTTTGTTGTTCTGTTCCTCCAGTTTAACACTTCATTACGGTTTGGCAATAATATTTGTATTTTATGGTTAACGCGGGTTGAGATGATACATAATAACATGTAGTTTTATTTCTAATGTATTAGCATTTCTTTGACGCTCGTGTCTTTGAACCATATGATCCTAGTAAAGAAGAAATGTCTGCAGCTACATAGAGTTCTCTTTGTCAGCAGGGGAGGAGTTAAAGATCAGAATATCATTTTCCATCTTGGTTTGTTCAGTCTTCACCCTTCCAGGGTGACTACAGTGCTGGCCAGTGGAGGGGACATCATGAATCCTAAGGTAGTCAGACACCAAAAGGGAAGAGAGTAAAGGACTTCAGAGTTCTGGGGATCTTGAGGGCTTTCCTTGAGGGAAATAAAACCTGGTATCTTGTAAACAAAAAGATTGAACTAGAAACTTGTGGTCTTTGCCTGTAAATACAAATAGCAATTTATAAAGCATTCAGCAGCTTTTAAAATTGCCCAAAGTACATTCCTGGAAATTCTAGGGGGTTTTTATCTTTTGGATGCTATTCAGTGGGGATTACATTAGCTACAGAGGAAACACCTGAAACGTGGAACTGAGCTTGAATACAGGCTTGGGAAGACTTACATGGCTGTACCTGCTACTGATTGAAGAGTGCAACCGCTGCCCGAGTCAGTGTGATAACTCAGAAAACTTGAAGAAAACTTTGAGAGTGACTTTACTCTCTGCATCTAAAAGTCTATCTTTTAGAGCATAAAGGGTTTGTGCGAATGAAGTTACTTCCTTTTCCCCTGCTGCTCTCTGTGTGATCAGGTGGTTGTCTTTGTAAGGGCTGCTGTGGCTGCTGTCTGTCTACTCTGCATTGATATATTAAAAGCAAGATCTGAATTAGCTTGCTGAGTGTCATTTAGCAGCTGGCTTCATAACAAGATAGTCTTTTTTTTAATTGACTTTTCTTTAGTTCTTTTTTCTACAGCCATTCATGTTCTGTTAACTGGTTGCTTTAGAGCTACATTTGGGTTTTATACTTCTTTTAAAAAGAACTCAGAAATTTTCCCTGTAATGGGTGTTTACAGTTTATTGTTATAATGTTAGCTGCTGTTCCTTATGTGAATACCTGCTATAGCGTATCTGTAGAGACATCACTGGTTTGGACAGTTTCTGAACCCAGAGGTTTCAGGGTTCTTTGAAAAATTAGTTAATTCATGTATCAGTAAGTTGGTATAATTTTTAATGCTGTATTTCACATTTTCATTATTGTTTTTATTGTTATTACTGTTATTAACATGGTACATTGGGATGTCACAGCAAATTCTGATCTGTTTACTTGCACAATGTGCTAGTCAGTGAATTGTTTCTTGTAGCCCTCTCAGTAGGATTATTTGGGAGGAAAAATGATGTCCTGTGAGTAGGGAGCATGGGGTGTGTTCCTCAATCAAAGACTGGTTTACTACTGAGTTCTGAGGGATTAAAATAAGCCCAGTGTCCTTTTGCCATACTCTGTACTGAAGGAGATACTTACAGTATAAGCACCAGCTCTTGTAAATGCATGTTCAAAAGAATTGATCTCTTGTCTCCCTTGAAACTTCTCTCTCAAGAGTACTAGTAAGACTGTATCTTAAGAAATAAGTTCTGGCTTAAAATGTAACAAGGGATGTTTGAGGAACATCGGAGTTAAAATTACAAAACCGGGAATCTTTGGATATGCAATTCCTTTGTATTAGAGATTACTGCATTCTTATAAGCATGCAGTAACGTACTGTATTTTGTTATAGCGTAATATATTATAATGTCATATAACTTGTCATGGTTTAACCCCAGCTGGCAACTAGGACCATGCAGCTGCTCATGCAGTTCTCCTCCTTCCCCCGAGAAGGGTAGGGAGAAGAGGGAGAAAAAGGGGGGAAAGGTAAAGGGAAATAAAACTTCGTGAGTTCAGGTAAAGACAGTTTAATAGAACAATACCAGAAAAGGAAAATAACAATAACAATAATAATAACACAAATCACTCTTACCAGCCAGTAAATCGGTATCTTTCCAATCAGCGATCATGAGTACCCGCTCCCCGACTAGCCCCATTTATATACCAAGCATGACATCTATGGTGTGACATATTCCATTGGCCATTCCATCATTCTGTCTGTGCTCCTTCTCAGCTTCTACGGGAAGCTGAAAAGAGTCCTTGAAAAAATATAAACATCACGTGGCAACAACTAAAAAAATATGCATTACTGACATTCTTTTCATACCAAATCTGAAACACAGCGACCACTAGAAAGAAAATTAACTCTGTTCCAGCTGAAGTCAGGACAAATCTTATAAAATGTTATTGTATATATTAGGTTTTATAATAATATAATTTATAATCTAGAAACATGTACTGTGGTATACATTTTATTGCATGCTAGTCATTATGTAAATGTAATATTGTGATAGATTTTTTTTTTTTACAATGTATTATAGTATTTACAGTTATTTTTGTTTTCTCTTTGCAGGAAGTTCAAGAAAAAGCTTCTGTTTTTAATATGCAGTTGGACTTAACTGGGGCAGTTCCCAGCCTTATAGTTGCCTTTGTCATTGTAGCTAATGGCGATCGCCAGGGACGCAAAAGGTCTTTAGTTTTACCATCAATGGGAGCTTTGATTGCTGATATTTGCCTCACTGCCATATCATATTTTTCCTTGTCACTCTCTATCCTATTTGCGGTTGCATTTATTACTGGACTGTTTGGGAGTATGGCAACTTTCCTTGGAGGAGGCTTTGCTTTTATAGCAGACATATGTCATGATGAGAAGCAGAAGACAACGCGAATAGCTGTGGTGGATTTGATTTTTGGAGTTGTATCTGGATTGGCAGGACTGTCATCTGGTTACTTTCTAAGAGGAATAGGCTTTACGTGGACATTTGTGACAGCATCTCTGCTTCATGTTGTTAATATTACCTATATTATATTTTTTCTGGAAGATACAGTAAATATATCTGAGTTCCAGCACCAGGCACCAGTATCTTGTAAAGAACTTCTGAGAGAGACATTTTCTGGAGTGTACATGCTTTTTAAAACTGCCCCTTATAAAAAGAGAATGTTAATCGTTGTGTTACTTTTTACATTTATGACTTATTTGTTTACTATGGTTGGTGGGACTTCGCTTTTTACACTGTATGAACTGGATGAGCCACTCTGCTGGAATGAAGTATACATTGGATATGGAGCAGCAGCGTTCACTTCTGTCTCTCTGACGAGTTTTTTAGGAGTTTACTTATTTTCTAAATGTCTCAAAGACATTTATATTGTCTTTATTGGGATATTTTCTTACATTGGAGGAATGGTCATGGCTGCCTTTGCCAAAACTACCCTGCTCATGTTTTTAGGTGAGTTCACAATCAGTTGTTCCACAGTCAACAATATATATGAAAATACTGCTATGTTATCTGTAGTGAGTGCAGTTGGTAGATATTGTACCTACTGCCTTGAAAGGGTCATTGAGAGGTAAAATATACAAGGTTGGGTCTGACTGATCTAGGATTTAATTAAAAGATTAAGAGTGTGGAGAGAGAATGGAATTGCTTGCCTTGGTTTTAGCATCATACAGATATGTTTGACTTATTGATTTCTCTGTGCTTGGATAATTGTGTCTCAGTGCACTCCCATTTTGATTTTTCTATTGCCTTTTACTATTTGTGGAACTAAGCATTCAAAAGTATATGACTAATTAATTTGCAATGTATTTGTAAACCCCTGGCTTTTTATTACTTCAGTGTCTCATGACTGATTCATTGCTTTACAGTAAGAGTGCCATCTTTGCTCTGCTTTATGCCTATTCCTGTTCTCCGATCCATGCTGTCAAAAGTGGTTCTCACTGGTGAACAGGGTGAGTAGAATTTGGTTTTGGACAGTACAATAATATGGTGCTATCATACCATAATGCAGCAAAATTGCCTTTAAACAAGCAGATATCTATTGGTATTTTAAGACTCCTTGTCTTTCACGTTCCATATATTATGACCCTATGTCATGATATTAATGGCTTTTGATTCTGAATTTAATATAAACAACATTGTGTTTAAAAACTACTGCAAGTTTCAGCCTTTCAGAGGAGATATTGCTCTAAAAACCATGGGGAACTTGAAGCAGAGGAGTGCTCAAGATTTGTACAGCTGTGATTTCACAAGTGCTTCTACATTCACAAGATTTTGACATGCAGAGAAAGATATATTTCTTATATATTATTATTTAGTCAATGAGACACTTAATAATTTAGAAAGGTAAGCAATAGATGGTCAACCTTCAAAGCACTTGAAAACCGTTAGACTTGGATCCTGAGCTGTGTACCCAGCTTCATGGGTGCCTGTGGCTGCTTAAACATGTCCCAAAAGTCCTTTCCATATAGAACACAGAAAAAAAGCCTGTCAGGCCTCAAAAATGTGGCTCTAGTATCCCATATTTTCCTTTTGGGGAGCATATACTTTCTAGATTTTGGTGAGCATATACTTTCTAGAAGCACTGTCCTGAGTTGTTTGGGTTTATTTTTTAAAATTCCTATCTTTATACGCTAAAACAAAGATCTCTTTGTACTTAACTATGCTAACATACAGCGCTGTTTTTGCAGTTTCTTGGCATTCTTCAGGGTTTTGGCTACTTGAGTAGCTTGATGCAGGAATCAGGTTGCCTCCTGTCATCCTTTTCTGCTTACTTATTGTGATTTTGCTTATGGTTCTCTGAATATGAATGCAGCTTGGGAAAATGTGTTCAACAAGACACTGATGGGGTAGACTGCCACCCCAACGGGGCAAAAAAAAGTTGCTTCTTTCCTTTCAAAAATGGTACTGAACAAGCAGTCTTTGTTGGATCAGAGCCTTTTCTGCATATAAGGGTGAAGACTAGAGAAGGAAGAAAAATGAAAGGGAAGAGTGAGAATCAAGAGGAGAATTGGAAGGGGTAAAGGATGGGGATGTGCTGAACGTGATTAGTGAGGATGAACAGTTTGAACTTCATGTGATAAGCAGATTCGAGAAAGTAGGTATGATGATACAATAGTAGCACAGAAAAATAGTTTCCATAAGCAAAATGTTGTGGATTTTTTTTTTTAATTTAAAACCGACATATTTTGTAGGAGTCCCCATGGAATACACTTATATAGAAAAGTCATATGATACTCTGGTGCTTATTGCTTGCATACTTGCTCAAATACTGTAGATAGATAGATATTTCAAAACAAGTTTAAAAACTTTAGTACTTTGAAGGAGTTCTGGGTTTATTTTGTTTTGTTTGTAATCCATCCATTTGTTTTTGGCAGGTGCTGTGTTTGCTTGTATTGCCTGTTTAGAAGTTGTGACCGGCACTATTTCACTTTCAGTTTTTAATATTCTCTATGCAACTACTGTTGCGTGGTTCTCAGGTTTTAGCTTCCTCTTATCAGCAGGCCTTTGTCTAATCCCCCTGGCTGTCCTGTGGTAAGTATGGATCAGGAGGGTGGTTCTGACTGCTTTTACTGGTAATTTCTGTTTTGACATGAGTTGAAGTGGAATGGTTTAGCAGTGTAGTTCTCAAACTTCAGTATTTTCTAGTGTGCTGGGCTTATTTCATATGTAGCCTTCCCTCCACCTTCCCCCCCAGTTCAAGAACTGGTTTTATCTAAGAACAAGCCTATGGAAGGTACAGGGGCTGCTAGGAGTGGGGCAGAGCTGAAACGAGGGGACATGGCAGTATCTTCCCTGGGGAGATTGTATAGGAGAGAGGGAGCCCAGGCTATGGGAGGGCTGTTTTCTCTCAGTGAGGCTTGTGACCAGGCTCTTAGAGGAGTGGCTCTGCAGCTGCCGGTAGCTGTAGTTTCCTGTTTATTCTCTCTTCGACACCCATCACCATTTTTTCCATCACCAGCCCAGCCTGGCCCTGATCCACCTACCTCCCCTCAGCTCCACGCTGTGAACCTGTCACCTATTTCACCCAAACTGAAATCTACCCTGAATGTAGTGGGATACACTGGACCCTTGACTGAATGTGTGTGCTTTCCCTCGGTTTCAGACCTTCACATGGTCTTTCTTACAGGAAAGTCTTTCACAAGGAACAAAAGTAACAGATTGCTTGAAAGGCGAGCTGAATTTTGCAGTCTGAGCTCTTCTAGATGCTAATGAGGGTTATAAACGTGACTAATCACCCAGTGAATTTAATGGAAAGCTATTTGTCCTGGTCCTTGGTTGTGGTTACCTTGTGAACCAGTGCCATTAAAATCTGTAAAAGATCTGCACTAACTTTAAGCCCCACATGAATAAATCTCTAGACATATTTTAAAAATATGCCTCTATAGCATTTGCATCTAATCATATCTAGTGACCATCTAGTAATACAAGTGAAAGGTCACTATTCATGAGTATTCACAAAAGTGAAGTTCACTTTACAGTATTTCCAATATAAATTATGTCTTTTTAGGATGCTGGAACATACGACAGAATGACAATATGACAATGACAGAAATGTCACTTTTCATTAGATAGATTTATATGCAGGGGGAAAAAAGCTGTTTTTCTTAACGAGAGTGGTACTCTCGCTGGAGACTTCTATCTTTTTTCCTAATGCTTAGACTTTACCTCAGTCCCCTTTTATCTCTACATCAGCTCCATTTTAAGTTTTAAATAGGCAGTGATAATGCTATAGATTTATAACATTTTGCATAATTTCAAGTCTTTGCATGCCTGACTACAGTGTTTTACACAGTCTATTCAGAGAAGCTGTACTAATGGTAACTTAAGTCTAAGGTCGTCACAGACCTGAGGGAATTGAAGCAGAGAGGTCTTGTGTGTGTGTACAGAATACTTTTCAGTAAAGTAATAAAAAATTGAGGAATTCAGTTGTATTAACAAAGGCCCAGTAAATACTTGTTTAATTAAATACCAGTTTTAGTTTATTTCAGTTCTGTATGGTAGAGAAGGTTTCTGTTAAGAAAGCACTCTCTTCAGTGCAAAAGGTGACAGATATTTGCCATCAATTGGTCCATCCTGCAATCAGGACTGTAGTCCATCATCACCATACATTTTTGAAAGTTGTTTTTCTTTTCCTTCTGTCATTAGTGTCTCAGATATCCCACCCTTTGAATAACCTTTCTCTCAAACCTTTCGAGAGTGTCATGCAATATTACTATTTGAGAGCAGAAAGGATAGTTGTTCCAGTCTGTGATAAAGCAGACTTATCAAAGACAGCAGTAATGATACTAACTTGTGTAATAAGGGCAAGTACCGCCATTGCTTTTGTTTACTAAGAAACGTCAACAGCTTTGTGCCACAGAAGGTGGCTGTAACAGAGCTATCCCATGTGTTTGTTGGCGCTGAATCAACGTGCTATACTTAAACTGTCTCACCTCATCTGTCTTATCTGTGTCTTACAGCTGGCTTCTGTGCACAAGCTGGAATGGGGAGGACTTGGCTCTGCTTGTACCTGAAGAAGTATCCAGCATAGAGAGCGTTGATAGTTGAACAAAGGATTCATCTACCTGTTTTCTAATCTGACATGCAGTGGCAGAGACCATTATGTCATACAGAGACCAGCGGTAACACAACAGTTGCAGATGCAATCTCAAAGTGGCCCTGCAGCAATAAGCACTAAATTGGTAGCGCTCTTTATCCAGTCCCTTAGCACTTGAATAAAGCTAGCTCTTATACTTAACTATGCAAATAGGCTGGCAATGGAGATATTAATGCTGCTTTCAGCATGAAGAAAAAAATGAGGTAGGATGATACTCTCTTTCCACTTATCCTTTCTCAAGTTTGAGAATGTCAGCTGTGGATTGTGATACAGCCTGTATCATGCGAAGTGGGGCGACAGAGATAATGCTTGTCAACTCGGAGGGTGCTGGCAATTCTGCTGAAGCCAGCGAAGCTCATGCCAGCTGAGGATGCAGTCCACTGTGTGCATCTTAAAAGGTCTGTCTTAATGGTGAAGCCCCCAAACCTATCTAAAATTACTAAACTAAAAGGTACTTTTGTTCAGAAAGCAACCAAACTGGAGGCAGTATTTGCACCTGCTGTGAGCAGAGTTACTGCTCTGCAGTTAGCAGTGTTTGTGCAAGTTTAATGTATGATGTGTAGACCTTGCCTGTGACTTAGTTCTTAAAATGGATTTTCACACAGAACTGTCATACTTAAAAAATTTCCAGCTTGCAGAGTGTGAAGTTAGGCCTATGCCTATGTTTTGCAGAGGCCATATTGCACATTTATTTTTATCATTTTCCATATATTAGGGACTGCATACAGACACCTCTTTTTTTTGTCCCGTAGATATTTCTTGTTTTCTAGTTAAGTTGGCTGTACTTAGCTTGAATGTTTCTTCTAGTGAAAGGCTGTAATAGCATTTCTTTTCAGTGGATCTTTTTTTAACAACCCTGAAATGAGGTGACCAAATCTGAATCATGCATCTAATCATTGTGCAATGAATGCAGCATAATTTGTGAGTACTTGAACAGCATTTCTCATTTTCAAAGCACTTTACAAATGCTATTAAGAACTTCGTTCCATAATAGATATTATCATCCCTGTTGCAGAGAGAGAGAAATTAACAGTACAAGTGACTTGCCCAGGGCCACAGTGCAAACAGGTGAGACTGCCAAACCTAAAAATCAGTTTCTGCATTGACTCTTCACCTTCTTCCTTGAGATCTTTAAGTAGAAATTGTCCAGAGTATTAGCTTCTGGAATGCACCGCACAGCAGAAGTGTAAATATAACACCGTGTCAAGGACCACTCCCGTGTGTGCTTTTCAGAGACAGTTGTACAGCTAATACTGTTCTGATCCCTGAAGGTACAGGTAGGTTGTATGGGATTCTCTTCCGCAAAAAAAGATTAGGTAGAGGAATTAAAATAACATAAAGTGGTTGACGTTCACAGAAGGAGAACTCTAGGAAAGCAATTACAATGTGGGAAGTGATTTCACATGCAGCCAGAATACGATAAAAATGAAGACAGACAGAGCATATGCTTTATAATCGATGATCTGCTTACAGCCATTAATATCCATCACAAGAACAGAGTAGTCCTCAGAGCTTCTCAGTGGTACTCCACCAAACAAACACATCATGATACCATTGTAGATCCTTTTTGTTTGAACGGCAGCATTGTTCCCAGTGATCACGACACGTAGCTTGGAAAGTTTGGAAGAGGGTTCAAATACACTATCCAGGAGACCGTCACTGGTGAAAGTAGTGCAGTTTATCCAGAAGAGAGGGAATGCATATTTACACAGCTAATAACTATAGCCAGCTCTTACACTCCTGTCCTGAACTACCAAGGCTGATGTTGGCAATTAAAGTTCATTAGCTTTTCCTAGCTAGTTTAGACACTGGCCAGTAAATAAAACTGTTTAACTCTCCTCCCTTGAGGTGGTCAAGTTGCTGCCAACTTGTTCAAGAAGCAAGCCGAGTTTTACAATAATCAGTGGGTCCAAAACATAATGACTACTTTTAGAGAGATTAACAAAACTGATGTAAAGGATTTCAGCACAAAGATTACATTGTCTTCCCTTGCTTCTTCATTATGCAGTTATGTAAGGCTTTATGAAATTAACTGTTTCACACAAAACTGCCTGGAAAAAGTAAAGCAAATTAAGAAGGGGTGCATGCCTTCACTGCCTTTTCAGTGGATACCTCTATTAGCACTCGGAAGGTAGCAACACTGAGAACTGGCTGTAAGTTTAGGTCAAAACACATGAAGGATATGAACTGTGTTTTATTCTGTGAAAGTGCCTAGCACGGTGCAAGTTGAAACCAGGTACTAATGTGCTTCAGACTATTAAATCAAAATCTTCCAAGTTTATAATAATTGCTCTATTTGTATATTTGCAAATTATTTTGACAGAAATTAATAATGAAGTTTATGTTTTTAAACTCTATGTTGTATTTGTATTCCTTGCTTTTTTTTTTTTTTCTACAAATGGCCAATGGGATGACTGGTGGAGAAATCATGTAAACAGAAGCAGCTATTTTTTGTGGTCATCACAAACAAACAGCAGTGTGGAGGATGTGCTTTTGCCTCTCTCCTGCACTTGGGGAAGAGGGAAGGATGCTGCCCAGAACATCAGCACCAAGAAGAGGTGGGGAATTGCAGCACAGGGACAGCACTGCTGCCTGCAAGAAGTCAGCGTGGGGGCTGGTGTTGCACCTGTCAGACCAGTGGATCTGCAGGCACCTTCCTCCCCTGGCCCAGGTTGAGTCCGATGCGAGACCACGGCTGGGTCTGCCCCAGCTCCAACATCAGCACGCCTTGCTTGGCACCCCTCTGCGGGTCGCTAGTTGCAGCACTGCTTAACAGAATGAGGCTTGTAGAAATAGGGAGAAGGGGCTGGGTCAGTCCCCAGCTCAGCACACTGCAACACTGCACAAGTGTAACCCTTCTTTTTTATCCCAGAAGCTCTTTGCCTCAGTCCTGTCTGACTCCTGTTACTTTATTAACAGCATAAATTCCTTGCACAGGCTTCTTACGCTTGCCTCTTACACTTACATTTGCTTTCGAGCCTGGCTAACCCCTAAAATTAGCTCCTTGCAGACATAATGAACAATGCAACTTCCTTGCTCTGAATATGGCTTGATCTCACCCAAGATTACAATAAAGTACACTAATCATTGAACAGAACCACCTTGAAATTATGTCCAGCCTCCTAATCTGTGTCCACTCTTCACTGCACTGAGAAATGCTACTAAATTACTTGTCTTAATGTAGTTTTGCTCAAATACATCTTTCAACCAACACCAGGAAAGGCCAACTAGCTAGATATACTGTGGCGGTACCAGTAAGGTACTATTAGGTACCAGTAACTGCGTACAATTACAGGATAGCGCCCTGTTTCCTGAACAGTGCTGCTAGGAAGGCAGACCTGAAAATCCTCCTAAAAATCCATGCCCGCACCCTAATTTGTCCCAGACTGGGCAAGGTAATCCCTCAGCCTTTCTGGCCTGAGCCTAGAGCAACACAAAGCCTACTGAACCCCAAGCTTGCTTTATAGCAGTTTACTTTTGCTTTATACAAAACTGCCAAGAAACTTGTAAATTCTAAAATAGCTGCCAATGCTGATATTTAATAAAGTGTCAGCTCACAGGACACGGACAGGTATGGAAAACAGTGAGTAGGTCTACGCTTGCATGTTGAATTTATTGGTCCTATGTTTAACCTCACTAAGGCAAAAAATACAAATGAAATAGCTTGTATTTCATAGCACAAGCCTCTAATCTCTGCAACTCTCAAGCTTCACTTCTTAAATGTAACAAGTTTAAATATAAAACAAAATAAAACTGCCAGTAGAGTGTCTCATACTGTGTCATGTCAATGTTTTTAATTTGCTGCAATGTTTTGCAATAGATGCACATAAAAGCACTGTAAAGTTGACAGGACAGAAGCTAGAGGCTTTCGCCACACGTGGGTAGGGAATTTGTGGCAGATTTAAGCCCACTGGAGATGCCTTGGATTGTGAAAAGAGGTTTATAGCAACATTTCTGCTAAAATTATCTACAAAAGAACACTGAGTGCACTTAGCAGTTTAACCAAGTCATTAAAACCTGCTGAATAAAGACATTCCTGTCTTCGAAATACTGTTTCAAGCTCCCCACATATGACAAAAGATGACATCTTTTGAACCCCACACTTATTAGCTGCCACATCATATTAGCTGCCTTGCAGGATTTATATATGACACATACACATGTAAGAAATCAGAAAACAGTTGTTACAACCTTGAAATTAATAACATGCCCCCAACTTAAGCACACAGAAAATCCTACAGTGGCCTGCTCCTTAAAAAGGCTTATTTAAGTGTAGATCTCTTATTCTCCCTTAGTTAACATCTGATTTTGGTAAACCCACAAAGAATTATTTCTGTTTGTCATCTAGTACCACTGTCTCTTCATTGTCTCACTGCAGCAGCTTTATTAGGTACTGTTGTAATTAGGCACTGCACTTTTCTTAATCTCTGAATACTAAAATACCTAGATCTAGGAGTGCTCTTTTGGATTATGTTCTCAAATGGATTTTAAAACACCTCTTTAAACTCCAAGTGGTGCTTGCTTCTACTTTCAGAGACCAGAATATCCTCAGGGACAAAGATGAAAAAATCCAGACCTTTAACTCCCTTCTTACAGCGTTACTTCCAATCCTACACAAAAGCTTAATCGCTCACTCATACACAACTGTTGATGGGGGAAGGATAAAATATACACAGCAGGATTCCACTGGCAGTGCAGAAGTTAAAGATCTTTAAAAATATTACAAGAAAAAGAAACAACACTGTTTCTGTTGTGGATAAGAGTCTTCATTTATGATGAAATATATTTTGGAACGCAACAGCATTTATAGCAAACTTTTATTCAATAGTTTAAAAAGTGTATGGAAATTTTCATGAACAGAGTTACTCAATGGAAAAGACCTTCTTTTCCCCCTTAAAAAGTTCTTCTGCAAGAACATCTATTAAATGCATTTACCTACAGTAATCAGTTTTAAAATGCATGAGTATTTTTGGATTTCTTGTATACATATATAGTATTTCCATAGTTAAGAAGCTATTATCCTGAGCAGTGTATGAAGAGACATTATTTAAACTACCTAGTTACAGGACATTTATATAATTGACAACAAGCACAGAACAACTTATAGACTTTAAACATTTAATGTGCCTTTTCATCAAGGAAGGCAAATGATAACTGTAGGACTGCTTAACACAGTGTCAATTTAGTATCGTGTATTTGAATCTGCAGTATAAAGACACGCACAAAACATTTTTGTGAAGTACATTTTGTTACAATAAACCAAGCTTGTATTCCATCATCATGTGTGGCTCTCCCATAACCTCACTCTGTGAAGGATCTGGAAAAACAATCAAAAAAAGGTCAACAGCATGAGGCTTTTACCAAGCTACAAAGCCCAACAGTAGCTGTGAACATGATCTTCTCCCCACCCACCCCCCGCCTCATTCTAATGCTTAGTGCAACAGTTACTTGGCTGATTTTTGATAGTGTTGCACAATGCAGGTCTGTAACTCATAAGTCTCCATCAAAATCAATTATCAGATAACAAATACATCTATGGTTTCACACACACACTCCTGAAGTAAAAACAACCAGTTCTACATAAGCATGGTCTCCTACAGCCTGAATCTCAAGGCTGATTGAGTTTTGTGTTTAAGAGAACAAGTCTGACTGAAGCTTTTTCCCATAGGTGCCCCACAGGTTTCCATTGCCACTTCTCTGTACAACAGGAGCTAACTCTCCAGCCCTTCTGTTAGTTGGGACACGCTCATGGTTTCTCTTCTCCACCTAACCACCTAGTTTCACAGGAATTCTATGCCCTTAAATATCTCTGAGATTTCTTCCATTCTATAAAGTACAGTTGACATTAGCCACTGTACTCCAAGCTTATCAAGGAACGTGCAGAGAGCACGGGAAGTACCAACACTGACAGTATGAACTTCATTTCCATAAAACAAAACAAAAACTAAGAAAAACCAAGGCCAGAAAAAAATTGTGACTGCACTTTGGAAGAAATACACCCTTCTTCATGGGTGTATCGGAGTGTTTTCCTTCTATAAATAAGGCATATTAATGCCTTTGATTCCTCCAGAGACCCCAAAATTATCTAATCCAGCCCCAGCAATTAGCTAGAACCTTATCAAAACACTTTTAACCCACTCACTCTTTAGCACTGTACAAATACGCAACAGTTTGTTCTGAGCAATGGTAAATAATCAAATCCCTACAAATTATGTTTGACATTGCTCTACCCCCTGAACCACAGTAAGCTAAGATTCCTTCCCTTGCTCCCTGTAAATCCATATCAGAAAATAGTGCCAGATTTACCTCATGCCTCTAGATTCCCCACCTACCCCTCCATTATTTCCAGTTCCCCATCTCCTCTTTCCATTCTCCAATCTCACCTCAAAATACCCTCTGCCTCCTTGCACGTCCCTAAGCACCAGCTTGAAAGAAATAATTATTTTATACTATTTTTCCAGGTTTACTCTATGCCACACTTACTAACCATTGGTCAGTAGCCCACCACACGAACGCAAACTGTTGAGTTAAATTGAGTGAGCCTTCCTTCCCCCTGCCACGTCTCTGGTTTGTTAGTTCACTATCTCTCCTATTGTCTTTCTTTCTTTTTAATTATAGAACTTATAAAAAGTTTGTGTCTTTGTAACCTCCACCTGTCAAAATCTGCACAAGTAATCCAAAAGGTCCTGGGGAAACAGGCATACAACATAAGTGCATAATCTTCTATTCCTTTAGAAACCCAACCTACAAGCAAAATAATGGCTTACTCAATATTTCAGACTAATTTCCACACAACTGGCAGCTGAACCACATTTATTTTTCCTTCCCCCAGTGCTTCTTTGCCTTTAGGAATTCAATTCTTTCTTTGTATTTTGTGCATTTAATTCTCTTATTCCGCAGAGGCAAAGAACTTCACAGTTCCCAAATTTTACCTTTAAATGTTTTCACAACACTCAAAACAGAATGTATTTACCATTAAGGATATCCTCAAAACCGATGCATTCATCATTTCCCCTCAGAGTATCCAGTGCTATGTTTGAGCTGTGAAGAAATGGGAGACGCTGGACCTGTAAAAAGACAACAGGACTTCCAAGTTTCTGCAAGTCTGATATTGAGTAGTTTTGTATTTGGATTTCACAGTCAGAAGTGACTGAGAAAAGCAACAAGCAGAGTCACTTCTTCCGTCAAAAACAATGATGAAATAAGAGAACTTCTGGCAGATAGCAAAACCTACCTAACACCACCATCTTCTATTGTTTATCTCTGTTTTAAAAGAACCGCCTTTCACTAGATTTGTAGCTTTCACTACAGTGCAGCTACTACAGCAATTAAGACTAGTTAAAAAAAAAAAGGGGGTTTTTTTTTTCTCCTCTGTCATCACATAAAGCTGTGGAGGCTCACTGCAACAAACACATCGACACCCTGAGGTAGTATGGGGTGATTGACATATACTGCAGTGTTTTGAAACCACATTCTAAGTTTCCTACATCTGACACAAATCAGGACTGTAAGTGAAAGAGCTATATTGATTTTCACATTTAAACATAATCCTCCTTGCAATAAGTCTAAATCATAATTATTTCTCTGATTCCCACCAATTCTTAAGCTTCAAGTCCACCACCAGGTACTTTCAACACTCTTCTGTACCCTTCACCCACAATATTACAAAAAAAAATCTCAAGTTCACACAGAGCATTCAGATCTTAAGTATTCCAAGAATGGCATATCTGTACTTCCAATTGCATTCACTACGAGTAGCGATACTTCAGTTTAGCTGAAATTGAAATTTCTACAATTCTATAAAATTGAAAATTCTACAAATTTTACAACCACAAAATTATCACATAGCTATCTCTTTACACAAAAAACATGTCAAAGATTTCCATAATCACTACTGGTGTAATTGTGTACCAGTACATACACTATTCCAGTAAATATTTTACAAAAGTGAAATTAAACCACAAGAGAACCTGTCCATCTAACATGAAGCTGGGAGTGAAAAATTGTCTTACCACTGTATTTTCCCAGGACCCCCCCAGAAATACCCAGGGAGACACACTAGCAGGATATCCTAACTTGCCCCGTTTTCTGCAATATGCTAACAGCAGTTAGGAAAAAGACTTCCCATCACAAAACAGCACAGCTGAGATCAAGAGACGTTTTCATACATCCTGTCTGACTTCCATATCTTCAGGATCATTAATTTCTGCCAAATTTAATGCAGCTCACTGTGGTTCAGTAGCACCTGATTCACTGGAAGGGAATATAAAATTGCTGCAATTCACTTGGAAAAACAACTCTTAATAGCTTGACAACCTTCAACAAGCCAAAAAAAAAAAAGTTTACTAGGACCAATGAGTTTTCCATGCTTCCTAAGGGACAAAGTCAAACAAACCCCCTCCAGTTACTCTCCATCCTCAGAGATACGAAGGAAAAGCAAGAGATGCAGACACAGCTTCCCAATTAAGAGTTAAAACCTTTGAACTTAGCTCTATGTAGACCTCCCCTGCCTGATCTTACAAGGATGCAGAACAATAATAATAAGCATATAGCAAATTCTCTGCTTCAGGTTTCACGTTACATCTTTATATGCTCCCAAATCACTACCTGCCTCAGACCCCTAAGTCTTTGCCCTACAGATGCAGAGATTCCTTCCCATGAAGGTCATCCGTTCTACAGAGGAGCATATTAATTTTAGGAATTAATACTCAATTCCTCCTGCTTTTCTCTGAAGGCTTACAGGAAGCTAGTCCACAGAAAGCCTAGAGCAGTTATCACCTAACCAAGTAACTAATAAAAGAAGAGCAGCTGAAAGCCATAAACATACTGACTGTTCTGGAAACTATTAATTGCAGTGTTTGGTTGGTTGGTTTTAATAAAAGCAGTCCTGTGAAAGAACTTCTTTTGGAAACATAAGGTATTTCAACATAGGAAGAGGTCTCTCTGAAAGCATGATTCGAGATAAACATTTTTTCAAGCAGTTTAAGTTATACCAGTTGGTTAAAAATGCCTACCTGTTTCACCGCTCTGAATTCCATCTGCAGCTTTAAAGGTGCATAGAGCCCTTGAATATTTCTCAGTGTGGCAAAGTTTGTTTTATCTTGATTTAACTGGAACTGTAACAACATTGATTTTTATTTTAGAAAAAGTTACTTTCAAGTATAGTCATAGAAACGATTTGTGACATCCTACTGTAATTAACATGCTTAGTAAACTTATATGTAAAAATTCAGTGATTTCATCATGTGTCTCAAATGTACATGAAAGAGCGATGCAGTAGTATTTGTTTTATGAAACAAATTGCTTTTTGCTAGATTTTATTACAAATCAACAGTAGCAATTTTATTTTGTTATTTTTGACAATCAGGACATGTAACACCACCAAGTGGTGTAGTTTTGCACTACTTTACGTTACTACAATATTGTCAACATGAATCAGAAGCTAAGTCTGGTTTAACGTAAGAACACAAACTTAAAAGCTACAATTGATGTTATTGTTAACCATCAAAAATTCTACTTGAAAACACTCGAAATATTTATTTTCTGATCAAGTAGGAAGACAGAGCACCACATATACTGTGTATGACTCTGAAAAGCAAAAGAAAGCCCATAATTTTACCAACGGCTGCAAAATTGATCAGGAAGATAAAGAAAAATCTATTTAGTAGAATGTTCTTCTAATGAGAAAGTGCTGGCTCACAAATACTGAGGTACACAGAAGTAACCTATGCTTAATGTTAAACTTGAGCTCGAGTAATCCAGTCTCAAATTTGGCTTTTATAGTACCAACTACATGCCTGTAATGTTGACACAATACAACATTGTAAAGTAAAAAAAAAAAAAACAACCACCAAAAAACCACAAGTCGTTTACTTTAAAACCTGTACTCAATCACCACGACAAAAGCTACTAGTACCAGAATATCATCCCATTTATGCGAAGGGACCTCAAAGACCAACGGGAAATTACAACTCAAAGGCATAACATGCGTTTTCTCATAACAACCTACACTGAATGCTCACAGGAAAAGTTAGCAGAAAGTATTATTTATATGCTTCATCCCAAACTTACAATTCTGGTCATGTTATTTTTCCAGTTCTTTTATTTTAAGAGGTAGGGGTCCTTATCTGGGTAGCAGAAAGATTTGGTTTCTACTAGTGCTACCTGAACGGCAGTAACTAGTGCTACCGTTTATGGCAGTAAAAACATCCACAACTATCTCAGGCTAAAGTAAGTCTTTTCCCATTCAAATGTACAGGAAACTAACCCAATGATATGTGGGAAAAACAATTTATAAGTTTCACATATTTGTTAGGGAATCACACTGTCCATTTTAATTATTTCTGTGCTTTTTTTTTTCTCTCCAGCATGCGATCTTGTAATAATGCAGGTTTTATACAGCAAGAATAGAGTTAAAAACTGTTATAGCAGTCAGTTGCAAAAAAAAAAAAATTGACAAATAGCACTGAAACATTTATAGTATTTATAAATAAGCTCATGACGTTGGTGTCACATTAACATCATCCTTTTAACTCAAGACAGCACTAGCTCAAGACTAGCACTGGTTAGAATTAGAACATATTAGATATTACATTCAGACCTCATCATGCTGATTAGAATAGCAATTTGGAACATACTACCTGAATACTGCCTTTGCTTCAGGACATTTTATTACATCAAATCTTCTGTGCTAACAAAACAGGCACCAGAAACAAGATTCAGTTCACTCAGCTATTTAGCCAAGTCTGTCAGTCTAGTGTCCCTTTATCTTCAACCTATGGTCCACAGACCACTCTTTAAGTGGTCCATGAGTGATGACCAAGCTGGAGCAGATTGCATACACTTACGACAAACCCTATGTGTAAAATTTCTAGATGGGATCAAGTAATTTAGTGAAAAATATTTATGTGTTCACAGACTGAAAGTCTGAAAATGAAGATATAAAGTAAACCAATAGACAAAAGGGAGGATCAGCCTTCCTGAAGTGACAGGCGTGCTCCCCACCTAACTATAGAGGCTGCATACACAACCAGCTTAACTTTTAGACAACTAAACCTTACTAAGGAAATGCCTACTTGGAAGACTGCTTACATACTTGAAGTGGAGAGAGTCGTAAGTGGGAGGTTAATATTAAATAAGTTTGCCAACAGTGTTATTTGTACAAACAAAATGTTACTGTTTTTGAACATCTTTATTCTGTTAAAGGCAAGACCCTGCTTGCTGCTGTTACCGCACAAAGCAGTCCAGCTAAGCACATTGTTAATTTATACTTCACGATTTGCTAAGAGTGAAGATGACTACATTTGATGTTACACTTACATTTTTTTCTGATAACTCCAATGGGTGACTGGGCATCAATTCATTTTTCACACTTGTAAAGCTATAAATACAAGTAAAAAAATGGAACTTCAAATCAAGCAGGACATCATTTTTTAGGTTGCATTCCAAAAATCTCAGATACAAACATCAACCCAGAGACACACAATTAGCACAGTCTGAGCTACAGAAAAAGCTTAACAGTGAAGCAGCAAATAAGACCTCGAACTACAGCACTACTAGAAGAAAAAGAATTTAAATTTCAGGTATCCTTTTTTCTTTATGTTTGACAAAATAGAATGACAGTTTTTCTTCCTTAATCCCCTTCAGAAATAGAGAAAGATACTAATAAATTAAAATGTCATAGATTTAATTATGGCCAAGCTACATGGTATCTGCTTTTACGTCTCCAAGCTTTTGGAACTGAATATTGTGCAGGCCTTCCCCCCCAAGTTGTACTACCCACATTTTAAACTCCACAAACTCATTTTAGATTCATTACCCAGACATGTACATAGTTTTGCAATCACATAAAATGGCAAAACCCGAACCCACTATTTTCGCTATATTAACTTTGCTTTTTTTACTAATGCTGTAATTAACCATTTCTCACAGTGCTATGGCACACTCAAATATTTAACATACATAGCATATATTTCATAATTATTAATACTTTGCCATCTCTTATCTAAAGAGCAGTATCACACAGGTAAAATTCCATTAATGTTATTTACTTCTTGAAGTGATGTTTCACAGAAACTTCACGTTTGAAAGACAATCTGACTAAATATGTACACTTTAGGCTACAGCTTTTGCGATACACCTTCCAAGAAGCTCCTTTAAAAAACCAACATTTAACACATACTTCCTTCCTATATCTTAAGTTCAACATTGGCTAGGGCACAATTCAACAAGAAAAAGCAAAGCATACCCTCTACGCAGAAGATCATGACCTTCAAATGGTCCTGAAGCTGAAAATTCAGTAATTGGGATACTATCCTTCAACAGAGAAGAAGCGCCTCTGGAATTCTGGAACAAAAAAAGTGAGGATTACTTTAAAAGAACAAGACCCCTTTCATATGGGCCATTAGGTCAGGCAAATGAAACAAAGTGCTCAAAGACTCTTTAAACTCCTGGACCTAGGCTTTACAGTCTCTTAAAAAAAAAAAAAAAACAACCCCAACCCAAACCAAAAACAAATACCAAACCACAAACCCCACACTAAATTAGAATTCTTTCAGAGAATCTGATAACAGTATAGGTAATGATAACACATTTTTTTGATCTGACTGCAACAGTTAAGCTCACAATTACCCTTGTTCATTCCCACCCTGGGCTGCAGGGATGGAAAGGAACAAGGCAGATCATGCTCAGCAGACAAGAAGGAAAGGAACATGTCTAAGCATTCCTTCATTTACTTCAATACAGACACAATCAAGTAAGATCAAATTGATTTTATCCATGGTTTAAGGCTGCCATAAAGAGGACAAGGTGTATTCAAGTGGTCTGGTATGCCAGTCAACTGAAAGAGCAAAGAAAAAACAGTAACTTGTAACAGAAGACCATAAAAACACAACTCCACAGGCTTACTAAGTAAAGCCATCTTAACCCAGACCACTAATTTCACGCTAATCTGCCCAACTTTATTGAAGCGATTCTAGGATTGTTCATACAAATTGCTCCACCAATAGGCCAATGTATAATAAACTCTGGAAGGTGACAGCGATGAGCTGTTCGGTGCAGGAGTTTCTTCCAGCAGCACTGTTGGATCCAACATAAAGTTCTTGCTTACAGTTATGCTCTTTTGTACTAATGAGTTAACTGTAAATAACCTAACAGCTATTAAAAAACTCTAAAATACATGTTATTACATGCATATAATGCATCGACCACTCAACACTGACCAAACCTTTCTGGGATTGCTGCAAGTGAAAGCATTAAAGAGATACATCACCTGGAAGATGTGACAAGAGAGAAGATCAAAGTGAAAGTCAAACGTAAGGAGAAAAGCACGAAATACTCCCCTAAAGTAACGCCCAGAAGTCACGCCAGTGCCCGGTCTGTCTCAGCCGGTCACACCACTGCTACACCCCCCGGAGGACGGAGGCACAACCTTCCTCCGCGGAAGCCGCGGCGCACAAAGGCCCCCGGCGGCGGGAGGCTGGGGATGACCGGGGCTCTCGGCCTCCCCGTCCTTCCCCCCGCTCCCGCGAGAAGGGCTTCAACCGCAGCCGCGCACCCACCGCGCCTGCCCGGCCCCGAGCACCCGTGAGGATGCCCAGCGGAGACAGACCCCCGCGGAGAGGAGAGGGAGGGGGACGGACGGACAGACAGACGACGAGGGACGCCTCTCCCCCGGTGGGGGCCCCCCCCCGGGCAGCACGAG